TTGCCGAAGAATTCAGAAGCATTTCGCGTCATGCCACTCAATATTCAACCAGTTTTGCTCTCCGCGGATACAAAGTTAGTTGAGTTGCAATCAGTCATGAGGTCATGCATTTACTCCAGAGCAGAGGCATGATCAGACACAGGTAATCTCCAAAGCATCCTTTACGTCACTCGGATTTCTGTTTTTGCCGTACCCTTAAAAATGCCTAAACGCCTTTATGTAGTGCACTCTCTGCACACCCATACCCGGCGGCCCTGCCTCTGTTCGTTGACTGAGTAGATTTGAGACTGAAAAGCAAATAGAAGTCTACACTATTGTTGCAATGGCCTATGTGGTACCTTTAAAATTATGTACCTTTTGACCACGAGGCAGCCATTTTTCGCGGTGTGGGCTCGATCGGATACCAAGGCCTCAAGAAACTGGTGTTAAGGAATTCTTCCGTTGCTATTCACCGAGTAAATGATGTTACTAGAGGTCCAACCCCCTCTCTACCCAAATTCTGGGAGGAGGGGATATTAAGTTTGCCGACACACTTGTACCTCCTGAGTTGCAGGTGTCCATGTTGATGATAATCACTTACCATTAAGTGACTCGTCTCCTGTTATTTGCTAATCCAGTATCTTGTCCAATTTCTTATTTATAAGTATGTTAAGTGTTGTCCATGGGCGGCCGTGGTCGCTTACCATCAGGTGAACTGTCTGCTTGTTTGCTCCTACACCATAGCACATAAGCTGTGATGTCGTATTATTTTATATTTTCACGTCGTCCTCATCTTCAATTTTTACCTAAGTTTTCATACAGTAACTGCCAACAGACTCGTTGTTTTTTTTTTCTAAATCAAAATTAGCCTATGTTACTATTGAAAATGCCAGTGAATTCTGTTCATCTGTTCCAGGGACTAGTCGGAACAACCAGACAGGCAAGAGAAAATTAAAAAAAAAATGAATACATAAACAACGTAACAAACCAACAAACAAACTAATTTTCACATCTATCTATCTATATAAATAAAAATGAATCCCCTAAAAAGTATGTACGCACACAACATCCGAACGACTACACCGAATTGGAGTTTTTTTATTATGTGGTTATTGTCAATAAAATTTAAAAAAATCGAACAGAAATTGTTTTTTAATCTCATAATATGAAGTGAGTGAGAGAAGGAGACGAGAAACTCTAAGGGATCTATACTAATATCGTAAGGAGGAAAAGTTTGTGAGTTTGTATGTTCGGGGTAATCTCTGGAACTACGGGTTAGAATTGAAACATTCTTGTAGTGTTGGATAGTCCTTTTACCGAGGAAGGATATATATTAATGAGAAATGTTGCGAAAACGGAGAAAATTTATTCAGCTAGCTTGCAATAAGTCTAATAATAATAAAATTTCGGACATCTGACACAACGCCATCTAGTATCAAACTAAGCAGAGCTTGTACTAAGAAATTTAAATTGACTGATAAAATCCTTATACGTATAATTTTATTGGAGTGTCTTTTACTGTAAATTACTAAAAGACACTCCAATTTTATTAGTTTGTATACATGCGTATTTAAGACGAAAATAAAACGTTTTATACTTACTAAATTACTTTGTTAAATATTAACAGGTTGAGTTATTATTAAATTATGATAAAACGCAAAGTATTATACTGGCACCAGTGAAGTATTTATGAAGCCGACAAAACAGTAGGTACTATCAGATATTTTTAGAACTGTCTTGCGCTGTTTATTGTTACGAGTGTTCTAAAGTAAGTATCTACAGACGAAATACACGCCTTCGCTAAAAGCGTAATATCATGTCGAATGCCAAGAATGCAAATATATATCTACTATATATTGGGTATGCGAATGAAATAGTTGTTCCATCTTGGTAAAACGTGAATCCTGTAAATATATATATATTCCATTGTTAGTTGCGTCTATGGATGAAGAATGTTGTATAGTGTGACATTAATATATGTATGTATTTGTACTATTATCGTTGCCATGTTAGGATTTTTGCTTTTATTAAGCTCTAGTCTTGACAGCGGTATAACGGCTATTGTTTTAGATTAAGTATTAAACAGCTACTGAAATAAGACCGAAATAGTTAACTTTATAGATGTGCAAGACCAAACTTTGCTTAATAGTACTAATCTAAAATGTAGGTGTTTGTTTAAGACGCAGCATCCGCATACATAGATCTAAAAAAAAATTCGTCCTAGACACCTTTAATACATTCATGGCTACTCTGCTTTGCCCATAAAACGTTTATCCCCCAGAAATAGTGCGGAGATTAAACTAAGGTAAAACTGTTATCGTTTCGTCTAAGTAGTATAAAATATAAAAAAAAATTGAACCAAGTCACTTTAAACTTTCAACAACAATTCTGTAATTTCTGAGTCTTATCTTAATTAGATTCTAAAGATTCCGTAGTTGAAAAAGTTAGTAGTGTAATAGGTCTTTAGAGGCTTTTCACGGTCAGAGGTCCCTCATAAATCCCAACATTATTTTATGTAAATGTTTCGCCGTAACTTTCGATAGACCATTATCATCCAAGACTTACTTCAGATCTTTGTTCTTTGGAATATATTAGAAATGGAAAGTATAAGAATTGCGGCAAAATTTCACTTTGATTTCCGGTAAGAAACGACTCCCATACTTGGCAAAGTAGGTCAAAGATATAAAAAGTTATTTTTGTTTTTTGGGTTGTGTATTCCAATTGGTACTAAACTACATATATGAGTAACGTGTAGGTACTTATTAACCTTAGTGCTGTAAAGTCTTTTTTTTTAAATAATCAGTAACATATCTAATTTCAACTTTTAGTTTTGAAGAGATAAATTTGTTAGTTTACAAAAATATGGTATATGTTTATTAAAATCTATGTGAAGTAATCTGGTTACGGTTCGACTAATGAAATAAATAGCGCTAATTATACTTTGATACCCAAGCCAAATGGAAAAGAGAAGCTTACTACAAAAAAAAAAGAATTCTTACTAAAAAGGAGAAAGAGGATAAAACTTATATAAAGAAACAAATAAAAAGATCAGAAAATGCTATGCAAATCATAGACTACATATACTGGAACAATGTATAGATAAAACAAGATCCGCAAAAAAGGCACACAAAGAACTAGATCAGTCAAAAAAATGGGTCCCGTCTCTTCAGCGGGGGCATACAATTTGTAAATCACGAAATGACATTATAAACATAGCCACAGACTTCTACACAAGCCTTTTTAGTTCTATACCAGACTCAGTGGAAAACAAAAAACAAGATCAACTAAAAAACACATCGAATGTACAAAATTTTAGTGAAATAGAAATCCTAAAACAAATAAATAAATTAAAATCAGATAAGAGCCCAGGACCAGACGGTTTAAGTAATGAATGCATCAAGCACGGCAGAAAACATTTACTAACACCCCTTACAATATTGTTCAATAAAATACTCGAAGAAGAAACTGTACCGCAGCAATGGACAGAATCGGAAATTATTTTGTTATATAAAAAGGGAGATCCTAAAGACATTAGAAATTACCGCCCGATAAGTCTTATGTCTTGCTTATATAAACTCTTCGCATCCTGTTTACTACACAGAATATCTTCACAAATAGACTTATGCCAACCCATGGAACAAGCGGGATTTCGAGGTGGATTTAGCACTATAGATCACATTCACACCATAGAACACGTTATCGAAAAGTATGTCGAATACAGAAAACCCCTCTACATAGTTTTTATTGATTATAAGAAAGCTTTTGACTCTATCTCTCACATTAGCATCTGGGAAGCACTAGACAAACAAAATATTAACGTAAAATATATAAACATTATTAAAAATATATATATAAGTAGAGTAAAACTAGACAGAGTGGGCATCAGGATCAGCATCAACCGAGGAGTCAGACAAGGTGACCCCATCTCGCCGAAACTATGTATAGCAGTCCTACAAAATGTAATGGAAAACTTACCATGGTCAAAACAGGGAATAAATGTGAATGGAGTTCACCTAAGCCACCTACGCTTTGCGGATGACATCGTGGTGTTCTCTGAAAGCCCATATAGGCTCAACATATAACGAACTTCAAAATGCTAGTGTTTATGCAGGCCTGGAAATGAACTTAGAAAAAACCGAAGTCATGACTAACAGTGAATTAAAGCCAATACTGATTATCGATGTGCCACTCGAGTACGTGGGGAGCTACATTTACCTTGGGAAACAAATTTCGTTTAGAAAAGACCGAAATATAGAGGAAATAGACAGAAGAGTAGCTATTACATGGAAAAAGTACTGGGCACAAAAGGAGATTCTCAAGTCACAACTACCAATTAAAATGAAAAGGATAATTTTAGACACTACAATTTTACCCTGTCTTACATATGGTTGCCAAACGTGGATCTATGATCACAAGGCGAGACATAAAATACTGACCACTCAGAGGGCAATGGAAAGGAGCTGTTTAAATATAAAACTGAGAGATAGAGTAAGAAACACAGAAATTCGGCAGGTTACCAAGATAAAGGATGCTCTACACTGCTCTCAAAGTCTAAAATGGAGGTGGGCCGGTCATGTGGCGAGATATGATGACAGTCGATGGACAATCAACATCACGAAATGGAACGGACCGTTTGGCATTAGAAAGAGAGGTCGCCCGTGCGCCCGGTGGCAGGACGAGATTGTGGCCTACGCAGGAAGAGACTGGATGACCACCGCCAAAAATAGAAAAGAGTGGAATTCTTTGGAGGAGGCTTTTACCCTGAGGGGGTCCACAAATTAAACGCGCATGATTAAATAATTATTACTATTTCATTTATCTTATTATAAAATAATTCAATTTTACCAACTAATAATTAGCAACCCATAATTGTAATTTATTTTATGTGGAATAAATAAAGCTATCTTATTATTATTTATTATACCCAAGCCAACAGTGAAAAATGGTTTTTGTTTTTCATGATACAGGGTGCAACCTTAAATGTTTACATTTTTTAAAGTACTTAATATTTCTGTTTACAGATGACGTTAGCTACATGGTGTGGAGGTGGCGGTCCTCGCATGGGACGCACATACAGCGCCCTTCTTGCATCGCAACGTCAACGAGCTAGTGCAGGGGTGACCGAACGAGCGAGGTCTCGCCGCTTGCGTAGATTGTCTACCGCCACCACACAACTATACGACGCGCCTCCCAGAGCGCAGGTGAGGTCAGAAACAGATAAGATACTAAATGGTTTCGAGGTTTCTGGTAGCTTACGGTTTGATAACATACTTCTATGCTTCCTCCTAAATGTCAAATTGTTAAGTGGTTGTTAGTCAGAAAAAGTTTGTTGAATGGAATAAATTAAATTTTAGATTGAATTAATAGCATACTAATTATAAATAAGTGCAACAGATAAGTAAAAAATTGACATTTGTATAAAGTGTGGCTTTGTCAATAGACACAATTCGATTTTCTTTAAATGTCTTCTGGTTTAATCCACACGTAAGCGCAAAACAACATAAAATTTATGTTGTATGTTTAGCCATTATCATATTTAATATGATAATGGCTGCCCTGAAGAAAAGGGGCTGTGGAGGGTCGTTTGATTGATCAATAGGCAAAACCAAGGGTGTTTGGAATTCCAAAATTTCTTTCGCTTCATAGTAGGTACAAAGAACGATTGCATTTCCAAAGAAGGTTCCAAGCAGGCGGTCAGCCAGAAAAGAAAAAGTCAAAGCCATTTCAAAATTCGTTGGCAAAATGTTGCTGTTTACCTCATCGGGGACAAAAAGCTTATGAATGTATTTATTAAACCGTAAAGGCGAATAACATTAAATTTTACACGGAAATTGTAATTAAAAGTACCAAGTACATTGAAAATCCACAGTTCGAGTTTTTAAATTTTTCATAGCTTTATATTGAACATCTGTTTGAAGTTTACTGCCTTTATTTCATCGAAAGATTTATATATGTATGTATATAAATAAATCGAATCTATAATCGTGTCAATCATCGTTGATTGACATGATTTCCTTATAGTCTATCTAGTATAAGACTTTTTGGAAACTTGTAATCATTATTACAGAATTAACTGCACAAATGACGTAATGGTTTAAGCGGTCGCCACGCCGCTTCCTACTACGCCGAGTGTTGTGGGTTCAAATACACGACACTTTGTGTGATCCACAAATTGTTGTTCTGAGTCTAGGTGTTCTTTGTGTCCGTTTCATGTATGTTTGTAAAGTCCCCCGCGACACAGGATATATTCCTTATGACGGAGTTGTCTTTTTAAATTAAAAGATAATAAAAAAAAGAGATTTCTTGATAGTGATGCTTAAGACTCAGCCTCTTTTCAATTTTTATATTATGTTAAATAGCCCATAAACTTTCCGTACAAAACGGCATAAATAACGAGAAAATATTTCGGTGAAACAAATATAATTTACGAGTATAGCTATGCCTACATATGTATTTTTATTTCTTAATCGAACTTTCTTAAACACTTAATATTGGGTCCTTACATATGAAATTGGTGTTTTGTACGGGTGGAATATAAAGTTTTTTTGTAAAATATATTTAATTAATCAAAGTATGCACCGTTGTTATCTATGCACTTTTGCCATCTCATAGGTAGTTCATTGATCCCTTTACTAAAAAACCATGGGGGCGAGAATAATTAAACTCTTTGAAGGCGGTTTGGATTGCTGCATCGGAGTTGATTTTTTTCCTTGTAAGAAGTTGTATAGTAGGCCAAAACCTCCTTTCTAAGGAGAGGCCTATGTCCAGCAGTGGACTAGTATAGACTGTTGATGATGATGATGATTGATGAAGAAGTTGTCCAAATTCCGGAAAAAATGGTAGTCTGTTGGAGCAAGGTCCGGGGAGTACGGTGGATGTCGCAGACATTCCAATTGTAGCTCATCTAACTTAGTGGTTGTTTGTTGTGCAGTGTGTGGTCTTGCGTTGTTCGTAAAGCAGCAGTGGCCTAGAGCGATTGACCAATCTCGGTTGTTTAGCAGCTAGTTCTTCTTTCATGGTTTGCAGTTGCTGACAATAGATATCTGCCGTAATAGTTTGGGCAGATTTTAGAAAACTGTAGTGAAAGACACCGGCGCTAGTCCACCAAACACTCACAAGTAACTTTTTCTGCGGCAATTTTCGTTTAGGGCAGGGTTTGGGTGGGTCATTAGGGTTCAGCCATTGCGACGAGCGCTTCCGATTCCGTATTCACTTTTCATCACAAGCAATGATTCGATTTAAAATCCCTTCATTATTGTGTCGGTTGAGCAAACAGCAGTCGACGCGTGTTTGCAAGTTCGATTCACTCAATTCATGAGGTACCCATCGTTCAAGTTGATTAATAATAATAGTTTTATCACTTACCCCGAAGCCTGCGGATATCTCTGAAGTGCTTTGTGATGGATCCGCTTTCACAATAGCTTTTAATTCTTCATTTTCCACTTTGGTCTCCGGCCGTCCACGGGGTTGGTTCTGAAGGTCGAAATTTCCAGAACGAAAACGTTGAAACTTTCTTTCTTTTGCGTGACCAGCGCCGTACATATCATTAATCCTTCGAGCTGTTTCTGCAGCACTGGTGCCACGGTAAAACTCGTACTCGTAAATATACCGATATTTCATTTGTTCATAATACAAAATTGAATTCATACTCTTATTAAAATTAATTTTACTACTAATATACGCTTGTTCAGTATTAATAAATTCAATTTTAAAATATCTTTATTTCAAAAAAAAAAAAAAATTGTTTGAAATCGTCTTTTATATATGTAGACTCGAAGTAACACACACACGATAGCGACAATGTCTGTTTTGTCAAATAGTAAGGAAAAAAAATGATCATACAAAATCTATGATATATTTGTACCGATCCACAACCGCCCGTTTCTAAGGGCTTGAGATGCCCTTTCTCATGGCCACTTTTCTGCAATTCACAGATTAATACAATGGCATCATTAAATATACCACAACATTGTGACGATGTGTGCCAGCATGTCCGTTATTAAAGGTTTAAAGGTGAAAAGACAAATAAGATTACAAAAAATATCAAATAAAACAGAAAGTGAAGTGAAACATAAAAAATAGAAAAAAAAACACCCTATCCCACATCACATTTTCACTTAAGAAATAGCCTGCGCTTAATTATTCCAAGCGTTTTTGTCTTCTATGTAATCAATAACCGAGTAATAGGCTTTCTGACATAATTTACGTTTAATTGCGGATTTAAATTTGCTAATACTTAAGTTTTGAATATCATTTTATTATAAAGGGATTTTATTATAAAATCGGACACATTGACCTCGAAACGACTTGTTAATCTTTTGGAGACTAGAGGCAGGTAGTACATGTTTTTTTCTATTTTTGGTATTTATAGAATGTACATAACTTTTTTTTTTCGAAAAGCTATCCTTGTTTTTTATGAACATATATTACATTCTTATATATATATATTGTCATGCCACAGTAATTACTAGTATGTTCATTTCTTTAATATTCTGCCTCAATGAAAAACAATTGCCTAAATTATAAAGTGCTCGAATCGCTCTCTTTTGCAGTACATTTTTTTTTAAAAAAAGTTAATAAAATTAATATCACAAGATTATGAAATGTATATTTATTTTATATACTTCTTGATAAAATAAAACGTTTTATTAATTTAAATATGATCTTGTAACTTATTTAAATATTCTATTTTGAAAGACACATTAAAATCCGCTGGTGAATAGTAATAAATAATAATAAATCCAAAGAATAAATCGAAAAGCTCACCAACTTTATCATATTAATATAAGTACATACAAGGTATAAACAGAAATATGTGGTTGCTCGACAGAGAATATACACAACAATAGCATATCACGACAAAATTAGGGCAAGCAAAACAAAAGCTGTTCAGTTTGTTTCATTCAGTAAAGTCAAGAGTGTATCGATAGCAAAAATATTTCTTATTGATAATGAGAAGTACGAGTATTTTATAATTTTGAATTAAAATTATCTTTAATGAATATTGTTCGTCACTATTTTCATATGACTAGGTTACACTACAACTCAAAGTTATATCGTAATTGTCTTTGAACTCTCCTAGTATCATTAATTTAATAAGTTTAGAGTTAACCTAACCGAGACTTGATTAGTACCTAATTTGTGGGATGTATTGATTTATTTGATTTACAACTATTGTATTTATTAAAATTATACAACCACTTATTAGTCTTCTACACACTGTCCGTGAGGTGACGGATTAAAAATATGAAGTGTCACCACCCCTATTCATACAGTGGGTGTCGTAAGAGGCGATTAAGGGAACAAATTACGCAAGACAACAGTACTGCAGAGAGAAAGAAAACTTGAAACAAACCCTTTTTTTTTTTTTTTTTTTTTTTTTTTTTTTTTTTTTTTTTTTTTTTTTTTTTTAACGTGTGGAAATCCCCTCGGACCGTCACCCCTCCGGGGTTTGCGGCGGGGTGGTGTGTCGGACTCGGACCGACTAAAACCACACGGTGTGCCACTCTGCGCCTGCAACAGGAGGGATCCGGGAACAGCTGTTGTTAAGACATCCGGACCCCTCCTAGCGCCAGCCCGCTCCTGGTGCGGGCTCCGTCTCAAAATAGATGTTCCTCTCTTTAGGCGACGTCCGGCACACGCGGACGCCGCCCCCTCGCGGCTGGCCAACTAATGCGGGTGGAGGGGAAACCCACCCCGTCCACCCGCGGCCACACTCAGGGCGGCATGAGGCTGTGGTAGGCGGGCCTCCGCCGCCCGGTTCGCCGGCGGCGGATCGGGTCCGAGTGGAGGTCGTCCTCCCGGGCCCTTTCCGCCGCCTCCTTCCGCGAGATTACTACCTCGCAGAAGGTTGCGACCGCGGTAAAACAACTGTCGCTACCGGCCATGGAGCGTACTACGGCCGGTAGCGAGAGATCCACTCCGATGACTGCAGTGAGGGCCCGGCGCTGCGCCGCCCATGCGGGGCAGACCGCCAGCGTGTGCTGGGCCGAGTCCTCACTGCAGTCGCAGTGGTGGCAGGCGGGACTCAGTTCCCTCCTAGCGACCGTGTGCAGGTACTTTCCGAAGCAACCGTGCCCGGAAAGCACCTGCGTCAGTCGGAAGGAAAGGGTCCCGTGCTGCCGCCCTGCCCACTCGGCGATGACCGGCTGGAGAGCCTCCACGGCGGCGAAGCCAGCGCGTGGAGTCTCCAGCCGGAACG